TTTGAGAAGTTGTTTTATTGTTATTCATGTTTATTTTTGACAAGTTTAAGAGTTATATTTTCTTGAAAAAAATGAAGCATGATATTAAAAAAAAAGAGAAGTTCAAAGAAAAAAGATATAAAAAAAATAACTGAACTTCGGGAAAAAAATGTTCAAATGTTCTAGTTGGAGGTTGATCAAAACAAAAATAATTTTGAGCCTCAATGAAAAAAATCAAGTTTGGAAATAAAGTCTTTTTATTCACTATATTACTTCATTATTATATCTTATGAGTGAAATTGTAAGAGTTGGGATTATTTATTATGATTGGAGTATATTTGGTTGATGTTAGAGTTGGTTATGTAGGAGATGTATGATCATTATTTATTTTAATCATGGGTTTTATTAGGATATGGCTCCTTTAAGCATAGCTTTTCTCTCACTTATTTCCAAATTTATCCTACCCTTTACGCTAGCCTTACATTACAAGTTTTAAAGACCTTCCGACCTTTGTGCATAGAATTATATGAATGTGAAAGTGTTGTTTATCAATGCAAGTGATGATTTCGCATATTTCGAGTCGACTAGTAGGATTGAGCGTTCATTGTTTTATACACACGAGAGTGTGAGTTGGGAGGGAATTTTCACATAAAGGGGTTGGATGGAGAGCGATCGAGTACATCTTTTACTTGCCACAAAAATGAGAGTTGAGTGCGTGAGCACTAGTCCTGAATTCTATATGCTCTTGTGGTTTGCTCTGTTTGACAATTATTAGGGAAGATTGGTAATTAGAGGGATTTGATTGGTTGATTCTGAAGAATGTTTATTTGATTTACCCTGGATCGTTTGTGCTTGATTTTTACTTTTGGGGTGAAGCATATTTATTGATTCATTGATGAGATCTTTGCTTAGGGACAAGCAAAGGTTTGGCTTGGGGGAGTTTGATGTGTCTATTTTATATAGTATTTTACCCCCGTCCCTTGGTCATAATTAGTAGTGTTTTTGGCTCTTTAGAGCCACTTTTATTACTAATTGGTGTTTTCTAGTGTTTTCGTAGATTTGGTTGACTTTTGCAGGGATTTATGCTTTTGGAGTATTTTCCCGAGATATTTTGGAGCAATCACGAACATTGGAGAAGCACGACCAGATTTTATAGCCCAGGGCCGATTAGAGCCATCAAACCGGTGATTAAGGGCTCGGTATAGGTTATACCGGGGCATTTAAACCGAGGATTCAAGACCAAAAGAGGAAACCCAGATTGGCCCGAAGAATTGGAGCTCAATCGAAGTCCAAATAGTGGCCCAAATGAGCAGCCCGGCCAAAAAGGCTGGCGCCCGGAGGCGCGCCCAGCCGGGCGAGAGAAGCTAAGTCTGGGGCCCGGTGACGCGCCCGGCCAGGCGCGAGATTAGTATTAGGAGCAAAAAAAGGCGCGCCCGATCGGGCGGTGCCTCGCCTGATCGGGCGCGTGTATTTCTTAGGAGATGTTTAACGTAGTTTTAATTTGTTTTAATTTAGGATTTTGTACGGAGTATAAATACTCCTCCGTAATTTTACTCTTTCTTTACTCTCTTAATTTAGGATCATCTCTTCTTTTTCTCTTTACTCTTTCTTTACTCTCTTAATTTTTCTCTTAGAATTCTTTCTCTAAACTTTTGTCCTTAATTCTTCCATTAATTCCAGATTACTTTTTGGTAACAATTTCTTCCCCTTTAATTTCAGTTATTTTATTTACTCCCTTGATTATGCTTTTATTTATTTATTTGATTAGTTTAGTCATGATGATTTGTGAGTAGTTTAATTTCTAGGGTTTATGGGGATCTAATAAATAATATGAAGGGGTAAATTATTGTTGTTGATTATCAATGCTAGATTAATTTCCTATTGATTGATTTAATGCTCTGTGACTAGATTAGGCCTATCTTTTATGCATGAGTTTTACAATATTGATTCAAGAATCGAGAGATGAGAATTAATGTTTAGGTCTAGTTTCAATAGGCAAGTTAATTTATAAATGGTTAAGTCAAGATTCGAGAGATGAGATTTAATACCGGTAAATTAATTCTATGATTGTAATACGTAGCATGAGCCCTTTACAATCTGGTTAATTGATGCATTGATGATTGACTATTATTGATTATTGGTATTGCATGATAATTTCCTATTGAATTGTTTTCATGTTTTAAAATTGCGGCTTGTAAAAGTATAGCAATATTAAATTGATGAATCGAGCAGATGTTAATTTGATATTAAAGGCTATTTTCAATAAGAACTTAGATCTAGTAAGTTGCGAGAGCCTGTTAGATCTATGTTGATTAATAAATTGCGAGAGCCTGTTAACCATGTTATTTATGCAATGTCAATGATTGATTACTATGTTTTACCCTGGAGTATTATTTATTGGTGAACCTATGCCCTATATCCTTTTATATATTGCTTTTTCCCCTATTCCTTTTCCTTATAGTTTAGTTTCATACTCAAATATAAATATTGGTTACTTAGATAATTTAGATTATAATAATTAATTAGGAGTAAAAAGACTTGTTTCCCTGTGGAGATCGACCCTACTTCCCTATCTACTTTATTAGTTAGAGGATTAAGGTATTTACTTTTGATTAGAGGATACGACTTACCCTGTCAAAGGTTCTTTTGAATCCTAACGTGATTAGCATTGCTAAAGGAATTTTAAGAGTGTTATTTAGAATAAAAGAAGTATTTTTATGGAAATTAAAATTTTACCCTTCGTACGCTTAAATTTTATCAAGATTTGAAGACGCGTGGAAAAACTGCCTGTAGCGCTGCACTGCAGGCAGTCGCCGGGCAACAGGCTTGGCGTCGCGGAGACACGTTTGTCGCTTGGCGACAGAGGCGTGTGTGGCGAAAACGTCGTCTTTTATTCTTTTTGAAACTCTAGTTCTTTTTAATCATAATCCGGCTGATTTTCGTTATAAATAGCCTCGTAAAACCTTCGTTTTCAATCACCAACTCTCATCAAGAAATTCTTGATACACTCTCTCTCTTTTCTAAACCAGCATTTTTCAAATACGAAATTCCGCATTCACAAGATTTAGACACACCTAGCATAATTCAAAGTTGCTTTTTGACCTAGATATGAAAGGTTTGATTTATGAGGGTTTGGTCCCAAATCTTGTCTAAACTTTCATCATCTTTATTTAATTTAATTGTTTGTTTTGTTATTTTTCCTGAAGTTACTAACGTGTGTATTTTATTATTAGAGAGATGTACGAGGCATCCAAGTGTTTGCTTTAACTTTTTGAATTGATATTATGATATAGAACTCATGTTTAGAATGTTTTATTGATCTCTAGTGTCATGTTAGGATGCTTTCCTTAGTACGATATTTAGGGTGATAAGCTTATATCAATTATGATTCCTATGATGCTTCCTATTTTCTTTCCTAATATTCATGTTAGTATCATGTTAGGGATAAATATTGAATCTTTAATGTTTAGTGACATGCAAGGGTTTGTTATGATTTACCGTTGATATTATTATTATTATAATTATTGATTATAATTTATGATTATTATTATGTTTCTTGATGCTTATTTATTGTTATTGCTTGATCACACTTTTTATGCATGTTTGAAGGGAATCGGTACTTGTAATAACGCTTAATAAGATAATTAATAATCTTGTTTAGGGTAATTTGATTATAATTCAAGTGATCGCAAATATAGTTTTATTTGTGCATTAATATTTAACCAACATAGATTAAATAGGTTTTGGGTTAACCTATTGATTGCATGTTAGTCAGAAAGCGCACATGAATACGAGAATAATAAAGTAGAGGCCTATTATTATGGCATGTTCTTTCTCTTGTAGATTGAATTTGTACCTTCATCCCCGAACTTCCAGTCATGGTTCCAGACTTATTAGAGTTACCGATCTCCTTGATCGTTAAAGGGTGTAATCTTCACCTTGTGAACGGTTTACAAGTTCCTAAAACTTGTTAGCGACTCTTTTGGTCTTGCTTCCCTTGGGTGAATTGATTGTGTTTCTGCATTCTTGATCCACATACCCTTCCCAAACTCGATCATTCACTATATTGACGGGGCTCTCCGGATCCCACCCAAACATGATGTTTAACTCCTTCAAAGGGACTTTCTTTTTCTTGTTGAACATTCAAAAATGAAGCTCAAGCTCATTTATACCCCTCCTTTTGGTAGTTTGAAGTTACCATAAGTCTTTCTAACATTTGGTCTGAAGTTAAAAGGAAGATAGGGATTTGGAAAAATCCGGAGTACCCTCTAAGAAACAAAAGAAAGCATGGTGAGAAAGTATTTCCAACATTTTGTCCATGATAGGGAGAGAAAAATGATCCTTCTTTGTATTTTATTCAATCTCCTATAATAAATTCAAATCCTCCACCCGTTCATCGTCCGGGTGGAGATTTACTCTCCTCCATTTTTTTATGATGGTTATTGCACTCGTTTTTTGAACTACTTGAATTGGGCTAACCTATTTGCTATCTGTTATAGCATAGATGATGCTCGCTTCACGTTGTTTCAAAATCTCTTTTTTGACAACCTCTTGGAGGTTGGGGTTCAACCTCCTTTAAGGTTCAATGGAGGTGGAATGATCATCTTAAAGATGAATACGATGCATATACAAAGTAGGGCTAATGCCCGTGATATCATCAATGCTATACCCCATCATACTTTTATATTTTCTCAAAACATCAACTAATTTTTCCAAATGATGTTCATCAAGGATAGCATTGATGATAATAGGGTATTTTCCATCATTATCAAGATTAGCATATTTTAAAGAAATGGGAAGGGGTTTGAGTTCTACCTTGGCATGAGGCTTAGAACTCTCCTCCAATTTCTCCTCTTCTTGTTGAAGCTCGATTTTAACTTCTTGCTCAACCTTATCCACCTTCGAGGTTTCTTCCATAGCCATGACGAACTCTCTTGCCTCTTGAGAATGAAAATCTTCCTTGCATTTAAGAGCTTCAATCATTTGATCTTGAGGCCTCATCACTACCCTCCCCAAACGATCTAACTCCTCATTAACAACATCGAATCGGTATCATTTCTCAACCATGGGGGTCTTAAGTAACTTGGATAACTCAAAGACAATCTTCTCATCGGCCACCTCACATGTAATGGTGTTGTTCTTGAAATTGATGACCGCCCCAAGGTTTTGAGAGCTTCATGACCCAAGATCAATGGAGTATCAACATCTTCCTCCATATAGATCACTACAAAATCACATGGCACATAGATATACCCAACTTTAATAGGAACATCTTCAAGCTCACCACATGAAAGTTTGACCGAGCGGTCAGCTAGTTGAATTGTTTTTCTTGTGGGAATCATTTCAATGTTGAGCTTTTGTGCAATAGAGAGGTAAATTAAGCTAACATTCTCTCCTAAATCCGCCAAGGCACCCCTAGGTTCCATTTTACCAATCTTGACCGGTAAAGTAAAGCTTCTCAGGTCCTTCTCTTTCTTTAGCATCTTATGTTGAACGAGTGCACTAACTTGATGACGGAGGATAATGAGCTTGTCATTGAACTTCCTCTTATTGGTTAAGAAGTCCTTGAGAAATTTTGAGTAGGAAGGCATTTGGGTAACAACCTCGATGAAAGGGAGACTTATGTGTAAGTTCTTCATTACACTAAGGAATTTTGCAAATTTATCATTCAACTTTCTTTCTGAAAGAATCTCGGGAAAAGGAAACGACACATCTTGATTCCTGGTTGATAGAGGAATAATTGCATCGTTAGACAACTACACCTAAATCAAATACAATTTTTAACACTTGACTTATCCTAATACAAGTATATGGTAAGAAGAGGGGTCGAACCACAGGGAGAAGCACATAAACACCGCATTCATAACTAGACTTTAAACTATCTCGGGACAAAGGAAAGGAATGACTAAGAGATTAAACTAAAGATAAAACGAGTTAAATTCAATATAATTAAACACCAAGGGAGATGGGTAGATGTAGATCCCGCTTGCTCATGCAATAACATAAAAGCAAATTAATAGTGAACTAAACATGCATGAATATCGATACAAGGTTAAATCTAACCGCCTTTCGGGGTTAATCGGTTTCTCATAACATAGCCTCTATGTTTCCACACTATAACCATATATTGGGAGGTGCAATTAAAGAACAATCGATAGTAATGAACCTTTACTAAGTCAACTTCCGTTCCTTGTTAGCAAAGATTCACCTTTAATCAACTAACAATGTGCACTTGCAAGAAGATCAAAGAATATCAAGCATGCAAAGATTTTAATCACAATTAAGTTAATCTCAATATTAAAAGCATGAACAATTAGCAACTACACCATCCCCACACCCTTGTCTAAGAGACTACTCACAAATCATGTTGAGAACAATATCAATCATCAAATCAGTATGCATCAACATGATTCATAAGCAAAGAAGGAAAATCAAAGTAAATATACAAAATAAAAAACAAAGGTAAAGAGAGAGAGTAAGAGACTGCTTTTTAATTGAAGATGAAGGTCTACAAAGGATTCAACAAACTCCTTCTTCAAAATCCAAGTTCATGAATAAAGAAATACACACTTTCTCTCTCACCAAAATGACGACTAATAATGTTTCTCTCTCTAGATTAAGCTAAAAATGTACAGAAAATTAAAACTAAGTTAATCTAATTACATCAAAACGTTCTAAAATGGGACTTATATAGTTTGTACAGAGCCAGCTGAAATAGAGGAGTGGTCCGACCGAACACTGGGAAGATTCGGCCGGACTACATGGTAGGTTCGGCCAAACCATGGGTAGGTTCGGTCGAACCTGGGTAGGTTCGGTCGAACCTCCCTGATCCTGGTCTGGTCGAACTTTTGATGTTCGACCACTCCTGCAAAATTCCCATGTTTCTTCTTGACTCTGCCTTGACGTTCGGCCGGACCAATAAGCAAGTTCGGCCACATCTTCAGGAGGTTCGGCCGAACCTATTCTGAATCGTGATTCCTTCAACTTTCCTTGAGCTTAGCTTCCTCCTCTTGAAAACCCCGATGGTTCCTACACAGCATAAGCATGGAAATCAAAGTAAAGAGTAGGAAAAAGGGGCAAAATCTAGGAAAGAATATGCATAAAGGGAAAGGGAATTAAGTGCAAAGAAAAGGATGCAAACAAGCCGCAAATGTGGGAAAATGACCATCAAAATGAACCTTAATCGTGGCATAAATGCCACTCATCAAATTCCCCTACACTTTCCACTTGCTAGTCCTCGAACAAGGAATGGCAGAACAAAGAGAAAGTCACAACAAACATAACATGAAAAGGGTAAGGAAAACCAATTTAGCACTTATGTAGAAAATGCTCCATTTGAACTCGAACCAAAAGACATGCACTAAAGAATACTCACCTTTCTCAATTCAATAAGGGAAAACATTTTATAAGATGCTCGGGGTTGAAAGAGACAAACCTAAGCTAAGCATAGAGAACTAATGACTTCACTCTCCGCCCTAGCCCCAACCAAGACGGTCCACGTTCTCTCCACTAGTTTCAAGTCATCCCCTAGCTAGCTCCTCATGATTCTTCGAGGGAACCGGAAAAAGATATTTTTATGTGGAATCATAAGGTCATCCAGATATCTCAACTATGCATACTCTCTATATAGGGTTGAAATCTATCTCCCTCCACGGGTCTTTGACTGCGCTCCTCCAAGTCCAAGAGTCTTAAATAGGGTTGTAATGTCATGGCTAGGGGTTAAGTTTGGGAATCAATTTGAAAATTTTGGTGGCAAATCCTAAACGAAGCAAAAGAGTGGCCATCTGTCAAGAACAACCTAAGAATTGAACATAACCTCAAATTACAACCTTCAATACAAACCTCACAACATTAATTCATCCCTTTTCATTTCTTTCATCTTTTTTTCATCATTATTTTTTCTTTTCATTTCATTTTTTTAATCACTTTTTTTCCTTATTTTTTTTCTTTTTTCAACTTCACTTGGTTTTCATGTGTTGCAACCTTCTTCACAAACCTTTTGCATATTCTTAACCAACTTTCATAACCTTACTTGAACCGATTACACAACTTTCTTGCTCAAAATCAACACTCTCTAACTCGAACCTTACAAGTCAATGCTTCACTAACTACAAGGGTTGGTAAAACATAGGCCGATAGGTTTTTAATATGGCTAAGTCAAGAAAGGGAAATAAGGCTCAAATTGGTTAGCAAGTAGGTGGATGCAAAAAAAAAAAAAAACCAAATTTGTAAAAACATAAAGAAAACAAATAAAAATGAGAAGATATGCACTCTTCCTCGTCTAGAGTTGTTTGGTCATGATCTCGGGAGCTAGATACCAACACAAAGATTAAGAATGATGAAGGCTAAACAAATGACGCTCACATGGGATAAGAAATAAGAAAATACTAACTTGAGGGAATCCTATCGACTATAGAGAGCAACTTCACCTTACCACTTTCCCGTGAACTAGGGGTTCATATGTCCTCAAAAGTTCTAAACCGGGTTACCTTAGCTTGCAATGTGTCTAACTCAACCCTAAGCATTCTCATACCATGCAAACCCTCATTAATTAGGAAGATAAGCATTCAAAGATGCAACATCATAAAAGGCATACACAACCAAATGAATGAGAACATTCCACATCAAAAATCATTTTAACTTGTCATAGTCATGCTTGTAACACAAAAAGGAAAAAACAAAACAAAAGAAAGAGGAAGAAATAAAAAAGGTTCATACACGAGGCATATAATCCACTTAAATCCCAATCGTCATACAAGTGATCATTCGATAACAACATCAAAAATCCCAGGTTCCATAGAACCAAAAGCAAACATCCTCGAACCATTCAACTTCTTTCTAAGCTAAACCTAGACCAAACACTCAAAGAAAGAGCAAAAAAAAGAGAGGAAAGGTCTCACCAAATGCCGCTTGAAATGGAAGACTAGATAATTCGTACAATCTCACCAAGGGAGCTTGTGTTGCTCCTTAAGTTCCTTCGTCTCCGCTTTCAAGCTTCAAGAAAAGGTGAGCCAAAATAAAAGAAACTATGACAAAACAAGAGAAAAAAAGTTAGAAACCAAAGAAAAAGACTAAAGTTATAGATAAAAATAATAAATAAAAAGTTATCTACAAAGTTTGGATTAAGGGAATTTGGATTGTCGGGAATTTCGGATTTTTCCTTGTGAGCTTCTTTGCCTACACAAAGGTCAAGAATCATAAAAAATCATTAAAAATCAGCAAAAATCAGCAAAAAAATCATAAAAACATCATTAAAACATCACCATCATCACCATCACATCATCATCATCATCACATCACCATCATCATCTTCACATCACAATCATCATTATCACAACATCATTAACTACAACAAGGTCACAATCCTTAATAGTCGTCCTCATGTACGAGCCACTACCCTACCACACTTCCCTCCTATGTACACTTCAACCAACCCCAAAAGGAACATCCTCCCCCACACTAGTCTTTTTCACCTCCCGAGCAAAAGGTAAAAGTTAGAAGTTCCAGGGAGAGGAAGGAAACCCTCATCATGGGTTCCTTTCTCCTTTCCCTCTAGGACGAGGGGGGTAATCAAAATCAAATCCAGGATTTTCCATGAATGGGTGGAAGTGTTGGTTGAAATGCTCATAGGGCCACCCTTAGTCACCCCAACCACTATCAAAAGGGTTTGGGGTGGATGTGCGAACCGGATCATAAGCCGGATCACACCCACCCAGACGATAAGGATCGTAAGGTGGGGTGCCAATATGTTGAGAAGGGTCAATGGGACCTTCCCAATAGGGGTAGACATTGGGGTAGGGTTGTTGGGGTCGTAGGGGTCCCAATGTGGAACCGGACCCTCTTGAGGAGGATGGTAGGGGTAGTTAACATAGAGCGCTTGGATGTACGCTTGTACAAGGTTATCATAATTCCTCCTCCCATAGTACCCCCATTGTTCAATGGAAGCTTTGTTATCCCGGAGGATATCCTCGATGGTACTATGGAGGGCATTTATATCAAAAGGAGGAAAGGAGGAAGTGGAAGATGCCTCCCCTCCCCCATTAGGGGGGTGGGGGAACGTTTTGCTCCTAGTGGTGGACCGGTGGAGGATGAGGAACTGCACCCCGGACTCGTGTTCTTTATAATTCATTGGTGATGTGCTGCCGGGGGAACTTCCATTTGAGATGAGAGGAGTGGCCTACCGTAGTGAGGGATGGGTCTGGAATGATGCCAATTCTGTCGCTTGGCCGACAGTTCAGATTATTGGTCGAGTCATCACCTCTGGTCTAATTAATCAGTCTTCTGTTTAATTTGGTTAATTTTGCTGTCAATAATATTTAATTAAATCAATGATTGAGTTTAGGCACTAAGTACCATGGTCTTACACAAGAGTCCAAGCATGTCACTTACACTCAACGCACACACCAATACACATACTTTGACCATGATTAAGAGAGTCTTGTGTGCGCGTTTTTCCGTCATTTTTTAGGGGGTAAGTCGGATATTAATCCTCCAACAAAAAAATAATAATACTTAGTTCCCTAAAAATATGCACATTATTTTTGCCAAAAATATGCACCCTTTTCTTTTTTCTTTTTTTTTCCTTAAAATAAACCATAAAGTCAAGGTGATTCGAGTCAAGTAATTAAAACGCAAAATG